ACAAAAAAGACAAAATAAATAAACCCCAATGACCCAAAAATAAATATTCAAGAAAATTTCCCTTTCTCCATTTTTTTTCTTCAGATTCAATTACGGGATGGATCAAACCCCATCTGGATTATTATTATTGTCCGACCAGTGATTCGGGTTGAATGGATTCTGAACCGGTTGACTTTCTTCAGCCCGACCCCAGAAGCCGGAGCTTGTCCCGGCTGAAGATGAGCCTCTCATGAAGCTCTGGGCCCACGGGTTCAAACCGGGCCGGCCCGGATTAACAATATTCAACCCCTGATGCTGAGCTGGAAACACCTGATTCGCGCTCGGCGGCTGTAGCGACTGAAAACTCTGCAGAAGCCCCATATTGCCGGCGGCATCATACTGGCCGCCGCCGAAATTCGGGATTCCGGCCAGAAACGAACCTCCGGCGAAGAAAGAACCGCCGACGCCGCCGTTGCCGGTGGGCGGCAGGATCGGAGCCCTCAGCGCCCCCGGATTTGGGCGGGGAGGAGGGACGGCCAGCGGCGGAGGGGCGGGTCGGGGCACTCCGGCGACGCGGGCCGCGGCGGCGGCGGGTCTTGGGCGGCGGGCGCGGCGGGTACCGCCGCCGACGGGGACGTTCCTTAGGGTTCCGCCTTGGGTCCAATACCTCCGGCAAGCCTTGCAGAAGTAGCGGGGCTGGGCAAGGCTGTAGTTGTTGTAGTAGCAGAATTTAGTGTTGGTGGAGTCGCAGCGTGGGCACTTCTGGGGCGGCGGCGGTGGGTGGTTGGGCTGGTGGTTGCCCATCTCCGGCCGCCGCCGAGGAGGAGGCGGCGGCGCTGGCTGCATCGGGTTTTCCATATGGAATTGTTTTTATTTATTTTATCGTTTTATTTGTTCTTTTTTGTGTTTGGTTTGGTGATCATTTTATGCATAGACCTTGTGGGCTTATATAGCGGTTCTCCATAGGGAAATTGGGTGCTTCAGATTATTTCAACGCAAGAGATATGTTTGTAATCTGGCAATCGATATTATTATGAGAATCGCCAAAAAAAATAAAATTTGAAATTTCAGTGGCAAAATTACATGCGGCATTGAGAGCGAGAGAGAATTGAGATGGAATGAGAGACACCGCAAGAAAAATCATAAAGGGAGTTTTGCCTTTTTCTGTAATTTTTTCTCCAAAATTTGGAGAATGGAAAAAAGGAGGAAATGAAATTTATGATCTTAAGTCAGTTGCTGCAATCTGTCTCAAAAGCAAACATAATCCGCACGAATTAACTGCAAAAAGTTTGGAGAATTGGAAAGAAAGAGAGAAAGTGAAAAAAAGGTGTAGAGAGATAAATTTATGGTGACTACCGCCACCACCGCCTTTCTTGGTTCATTAAGAAACAAAGAGAGTACGTCAAGAAACAAAGGTATGAACAACACTCAAACACCAAACACTCGGGAAAAACAATTCTGTTCAATTGTGTTGGTCTAGATCGAAATTGTAATTTTAGAATTGACAAAATAAAATAAAGCTCTCTAACAAATTAAAGAAGGTATAAAACCATTTTATTTATTTTTTATTTTTATTTTTATTTTTCACCCCAAGTTGTATTTAATTTTAAAAAAGATTTACTTATAGAATTATTAATTAATGTGTAAATTCGAAATTGTAATCTAATAGTGTAGACTAAACCATAAGAATGGGAGATAAAAACAATGTAATAAAATATGATAACGAAGAAGTAAAAGAATACGACCGTCTTTGAAATCGTATAGCCACACTCTTCATATGATGGAATAGTATACGGTAAATTCCAGATAAAAAAATGTATCGATAAAAAAAATTAGGACAGCCGACGGTAAATTCCAGATAAAAAAATGTATCGATAAAAAAAATTAGGACAGCCGCTTTATTAATGTTTGATCTTTGATACACGTTCTTCTTTTTAAGATCCTTTATCTTACTTTTGATTCGTCTTTCATAGTTGTCCTATCACAACCCACTTATTAATCTCTTATATTTCTTATACCCTATTATTTGATATTTATTTCAAAATGAATTGAATAAATAAATATATGAATTAGTAACATTCCAGCTATATGTAAGTAAAAATGAAAATGAACGGTTTGTGATATAGTATTTATAAATATTTGTAGAACATCTCAAATATTTCAAATAATTAGAGGATACAAATTATCGAAACATAACAATCCAACACTCATTTCAAATATATTTGCAATTGCAATACTCATATTATGTATTTCAAATTTGTTAGATAACCAAAAGAAAAGAAAAAGATACGCTAAATTTGTTTTTTCCGCCACAATTTAACATTACCCAATTTTAATAAACCAACTTAACAAATTTATCAAATATTTTGTACATATTAGCGATAAATATAAAAATAGTGAACAAAAATAAAATTAAATCTAAAAAATAACTTTGTGCAGGTGCCAAAAACCATTTTAAAATTGTTTTACATTTTAGAAGAAACAACACAATTTGCAAAACCTTGTTCTAAATGAAATATTGATTTTGGTAGAAGCTTATATAATTCTCAATTTCGTAATATTTATTTTTGTGTTGTAAAATTTATTTACAACAACTAGTGCCTCAACATATTATCTTTAAATCTTATTATTTCCAATATAATAATTTTTTTCTACTATAGATGATGCAAAATTTGGTGGATTAATATAATTAATATAATTTTATTAATAAAATAAAATATAATTTGATTCAAACAAATTTAAATTAATTAAAACACTAAATAACTATGTATTGGACCATCTTGTAAACAAACACTAGAACTCAATCATGTGCACATGCACTAGTATAGATAAAAATTATCGTAAGTCATATGCGTGAATATTGTATTTAAAATTAAAATTTATATAATAGGAATATCACATTTAATAAGTTTGAAATTAGTAAAAAAGATTCATGACTATAAAATATTTTGTTTATATATAAATCACTATATTGATTACATAAATGTTATGACATATGTAACTATAATCACTATATACTATGATCCTAATCAATTAGTTATTTGAAAAAAAATATTATGATGATGATGATGATAAGAATCCTTTACGCGATTTTAAAAGGTTTGTTATGTCACCAATACCAATTAGTTATCTAAAAAATTGCTCAATCATATAAAAAATAAACTATTATATTTATTTTCATATAAATAGTTTAAAGAAAAAAATTTACTATTTTCTTTTAATAAGTGATTTCATAATCCTTTTAGTTTGAATTTTTATTAGTTAATATAAATAGTATTTATTATATGGTAGAATAATTTAAAAAATACTATTAAAGTTAATTGAGGCAAAATATAACCACTAGATTTAAAATTAAATAAAAAATGACCAAAAAAATAATTAATTCAAAAGCTCACAATTATATATATATTCATTATTTTTTTGTAATATTTATCTCAAATAATATTTTGTAATCTATTATTAATTTAGTTAAGATAATGACCGTAAAACTAATAATTGAAATCTATAAAACTACTTTTTATATTCCTACAAATTATAGACTGGAGATGGAGTGTGATGAAACCGATGATGTAGAGGACGTCGACGCACGGCGACCCGCGTGGTGGAAAAAGGAAATGAAACTTCGATTTGGGGATTGACTTTTTTTATGAAAATTAGATGATTTCTAGGGACATATTTTAAATTTTAAGAATTTTTATTATATGTCAATTTAGTCCATAGAATAAATCTATAATTTATAAAGAATATTATTTTTTATATTTTCAATGCATGTATATTAAAATAATAAATAAAAATATTATATAAAAATAATAATAAATAAATTTTTATAATATCAATAATAAAATATTTTCATTATTTAGGTTATTCGGTTAACCAATTGAATATACTAATTATTGCAGATTGATTTCAGTCTGAATTTGCACATAAGAAAAATTGACAGTGCAGAATGCACAACATTGCTAAATAAGATTCACATTAGTGTCTATCAGACAGTATAATAATGTTTAATTGAAATACACATTATTAAAGTTGTCTAAAATTGAAATATACAAAGAAAAAAGAAGAAGAAAAACCGCTATACAGACTGCATAATATTGTTAGGCAAATGCACATTAGTGTCTGTGAGAATGCATATTATCTACTTCAATATTTCGTATATAATGTCTTTTCAAAAAAAAAATAATATAAAAATATTAAAGAAAATTATTAAAATACTAAATACATTTTTAATATAAATAATAAATTATTTTGGAACAAAAGTTTGGTTAATTCTGTTAACCGACCTAATAAACCAAATAATTCGGCTCGATTCTAATTTAGTTTGGAACAAAAGTTTGGTTGATTCAAACTGCACAATAGCGAGCGAAACAAAGCACAATATTGTTTGATGTGTTGCACATTAATAACTGACAGGTTGCACAATATTGACCAAAATCGACCCAACTAATTTTTTCGGTTAGACTTTTATATTTTGGTTTGATTAGTATATTTGGGATGTACATCATCAATTTCGGTAATTCATATATTATGTTTTTTCCACCAAAAATAAATTCTAATAAAAAATTAAACGGATATTTCAATGATATTGCATTCGTTTGAATAAGAATTTCATTAGAGTTTTAGATGGAATTGATAATTCAATAGTCATTTTTTCAACGGTTTACTATCGTAGGAATTTCCATTTGAATTTTTATTTCCACTCATGTTTCAACTGTTGAAAAATATATTGTTCGAATTGTCAAGATCCAGCAGAACTTTCAATGGGAAACTTATTCCAATAGAATATTTTCGTTGGAATATCCGTTACAACCCATTGAAAAATTACATCGAAAATAATAACAATAACATTGAAATATTTATTAACGTTGTCGTTGTAATTTCGCTTAAATGTATTTCTGTTGGAATTTAATTATTAATGGTATCTAGTCTCTAAATATATTTAAATATAGTTTACATTATTATGCACAACTTACCCAAAGTTACTTAACATTTATTACTATACCTAGCAAATTGGTTTTGTTAGAAAAATATTATCCTACTATTTGAATATTGCTAGAATTGGATTTGGCGGGAAAATTATTTGAAGTTTGGATTTATAGCGGGATCATGCTTAATGTAGAGATAATATAGAAATCAAGTGCCCTGTTTATTGCTTAAATTGTGCAAAACAACTTCAATCGGCTTGAACAAACTTGGATCCGTCCTCGTCCGGTTCAACGACTTGCAAAATAGCACGGGGAATGGTCCCGACGTAGAACCTTCGACGATCAAATCAGAAATTGTATGAAGAAGACGATGAACAATAGCAATATAGTCTTTATATATGTAATAGTGTCTAGTCATTGGATAATCACACCTCACTCTTTTATATAAAAGTGTTACCTTATTGCCTAAGATTGACCCTATGGGTTGTCCAAATGCCCAAAACTGCCCGATTCTAATAGGCCGCATGTGGCTTTTTTATCCCAATTATATTCATTTTTATATATTAGTCTGTCTTGTTAAATGGTCTAATCATGCGAACGATTTGACCTCCTTTGAGCTAGATTGCCTCTTCATTGTACTCGTGCATCCTGTCCCTCAGGTCGACCTGCATACCTCCAGTGTCTCCGACCTCCGATCGACTTGTCGGTTCACCTTGTTTGGTTAGACTGCTTCTGAGGTCGAGTCGATCCATTATGATATACCATATCACATACGTTTTTAATAGCAATAGATAATATATAGTAGATTGGTCAACAGATCGGAAAGACTAGGTCACTAGGGCATCTGTTCCTTGAGTTTGAACAAACTCATCGTAAAGATGTTTGTGGCTCATAAATTGGCATTTATGATTCCAGAACCTACTCGAAAATCAATGGTCCATTCAGTTTCTACTCCGAACTCCTAATTTCTTTATTATGTTGACACCTTTTTTTTTTTTTGTTGAAAAGCTTGATGAACCACCAGCTCAAAATGATATTGGTCCTCCAAAATGATCTCGACCATTCAAAATTTAAAATTTTTACTGTATGGTTAGTGTAGGAACCAACGATTCGTGATTCCGAACTAATGGATAACCATTGGCTAGAAAAAAACATATAGATAAATTCGGATCCATATTTTGATGGGTTATGTAAAAATTCATTTATTAAATGAAATTATGCAAATGGATTTTTTTTCCAAAAGTTCCAATAATTACTTTTATAGAATTGACTTTTCGACAAGACAATTTATTCAAAAATAAATTCTTAATTTACCACCAAATATAAAACGGACTTTGCTCTTAAAAGTCTTAAAAGTCCATTCGAGAAGTACAATATTACGATTTTAAACATAGTATTGTGCATTAATTTGTAAAATAACGATACATATTTTAGTAACATAGTCAGTTCTTACTTTATGAATTAACCCAGGTAAATGAGCTATATAAAAAAGTGCGACTTTTTTCATTAAGAGCAGAATTTTTTCATGCTTTACTGATTGCATTCCATTAGTTGGGCAACATATTTATAGATATTATGGAAATGGTGATTGTGGGAAAGACTTGCCAATTGAAAAATTATTATTACCCAATTTGGCAATTTCATAACTATTTAAAGTTTTTCATGATTTTGTTTGTTCACTGAAATAGATAAAAGTTGGGACATTTCACACACCACGTAGATGATGATGTGAGTTAATAATGACCAATTGTTTTTAATCATGCGATTATGCAATATATTGGGCTTTTGTAGCACGTTTGGTTTGACACTAATCATAATTACAATTAGCACATATAATTTATAGATAGGACCAACTGTATTTAATCATGCGATTGTGCAGTATATTGGGCTTTAGTAGCACGATTGGTTTCATTGATACTGACCATAATTTCTATTACAGATAAAACTCATGGACAGATAATATATTGGCCCCATTTAAGTTTGCAACTTTAGTCTAGTGCTCCATTGGACCATTGGCAATAAATATGAATGTCAAGTTATTGATTTTTTTTTTCTTTTCTTTTGGAAATTTTACTAGTACTCAATCATTTGCACATGCATATGTATAAATAAAATATTGCAAGTTATATGGATATAATACTTTTAATTAAAATTCTATAATGTGTATATCATATTTTATAAATTTAGACATCAGAAGAAATAAAAAATATAATTATAAAGTATTTTTCTTATATAAAAATTACTTTGTAAATTGTATAATACATAATGAATGATGCAATTTTTATAACTTTAAGGGATCTGTATTAACTAATTTGTTGAAAAGATATTTATAACTATTATTATAACAATTATTTACGCGATTTTATAGTGTTTTGGTAAAGCCCCTACAAAGAACATGCAAATACAAAATCAAGCATTAAAGATGATTAAATTCCATCTATGCCTTGATAGCAGTATCAACAATGATAGCAGTATCTAGGCCTCCAACTGGAATACCCTAAGTTTCTAGTCTAGTATTTTTATTTTTTTTTCAAACAACACCCCATGAGGGTGGGGGTTAAGGCCGAACCCCCAACCTATATATAAAAATGCCCTAAATGGGCTGAAAAGTCACAAAGCTACAAGTCCAATGTCTGATATACATCAAGTCAAACAAAACCGAAAAAACAAAAGCAAGAAAACAATACAAGGAACAACTGACAACTGCAGCGAGAAGTACAAAAATAGCAAATCCTGGTCCGGCGAGAGTCCCGGCGAAAAAGTCAGCATCACAGTGTGGTAGATGCACCAAAAAGTAGGACCGATTACACAAATCTAAATGAATGATATCCCATCTGGTCCATCCGTATGAGGGTGCGGAGGCGGAAGGGAATATCGTCGGAGTAAAGAATGCGTCTCTAGGGGTGGAGGACCCGATGCCAGAGAGGAAGTCAGCTGGCCGGTTCCCCTCGCGGAAGATGTGCGAGATCCGAGAGCGAATCGACAGAAGAATGGCTCTGATACGCATGAGAGGGTGCTGGATCTGCCACGTGCCATAATGTCCAGATGACAAAAGAGTGATGACAGCAGCAGCGTCCAACTCTATCCAAATGTGAGAGGAGATCGAAGCGGCAATCTGAAGACCGATCTGAAGCGCCTGAACCTCCGCGTCATAGCTCGAAGAGGCCCGAAGAGGGTCATGGAACGCGACAATAAGGGCGCCACTATGATCCCTAATCAGGCCCCCACCTCCTGCAACTCCCGTAAGTCGATCAAAGGCTCCATCAGTGTTTAGCTTAACCCAAGGCGACTCGGGTTTCAGCCAAACAACCTCTCTGGGACGTGGATGCTGGACAGGCACCAGCGGAGGTGGTGCAAGGTGGTGAGGTGGCGTGCAGCCTGTTCAGTCTCTCTTGGTGAGTCTACCCAAAGCGGTGAGGAGTGAGAGATGGCAAAATAATATGAGAACACAAAAAAGGGTTATCCCAATGCTTCGCATTATTCCTTTCTGTCTAGATGGCCCAAAGGATCATACAAGAAATAAGAAAGCTCACGTGTCTAATGTGTGTGCGGTGTCTGAAAACTCGGGAGCTCAAAGAAAGTATCTGTGGAGGGTAGGGGGATATGAGTATAACTGGTATAATGCTTCTACACTCTCCTCACAGTCTCGTTCTCTAAAAATAGGTAGATAAAGGTCTCCGTCGGAAAGTCGTCGGTTTCAACACAACAGTAGAAACGCGCAAAAAAAAGCGCCAAAGGAAAACAGAGATAGTGGCCTATTCTAGTCTAGTATATAAAGAGGTGCTCAATGGTTTCAATAGCCTAGCTTTAACGATTGATCGAGCAAAAACTTATTCGCAGAGTCGTCTTGAATATTATGAGGTCCTGGGAGAAAACAAAAACAAAACCCTCGGGTGCTCTCATTTTCTAAAATATAATATTCTCATTTTTTAAAAGATAATATTATTTTGAACCGCGAGTAATTTGTTGGTGGCCTATTTTTTATTATTAAATTAAAAACACAATTAATTAGATCAATATGATAATTTTAGGTAATTGAATTTCAAAAATTAAAACCAGCTGGGCTAATCAAATATATTTGTCAATTATCCTATATTATACATAAAACAATATACATAGGAAAAAAATACAGAATATATAAGAAATAGTTTTTCAATTTAAATTAAAAATATTTTTTACAAAACTATTACCCAGATTAAATGAATTTACAAACTATAGTCATAAATTGGTATTTTTTAATGGTAGGTAAGGAGCATATTTATTGAAGAGGAAAAGGAGCTAATATCATAATATGCATCATCAAAATATTAAATAAATTAAACATTCAATTGGACCTTTTTGTTAGTTTAGAGAACCCATAAATATATAATTGGACACATTCTTATATGTTTGACAGACCATAAATGAAATGAAAGTTTGAATATGCCTTTATTAAAACTTGGCCACTTCTTTTAGTAGTTGGGCCCTTTATTAAATCCTTGTTGTGTACTTGTGTTTTATAAAAAAAAAAAAAAATCATCGACACCATCAACTGATGTGAGTAGAGTACAGTTAAAACTTTTTCCGATCCTTCTCTTGCCGCCTCATATCTGCCACGTCATCATCCATATACTTCACCTTGCCCACGTGGTCCTCCACGTAATCCTCTACCGCCTCCTCAGTAGTCTTCCCGGCCACCTTCTCTTTTATCTTCCTCACCGTCTCCTTGGCCTTCTCCGCCATCCCCTTGGCCCCTTCCTTGGCCTCTTGGGCCCGTTCCATGGTTCGGTCCTTCATCTCCTGGGCCGAGCCCATTGCCTTGTCCCGCATCTCTTGGGCCTTGTCGGCCATTGGGCCCAAAGTCTCTTTGGTCTTCTCGTTAATCTCCTCTGCCCGGGCCCGTGCGAACCCGGCCGCGTCACCGGTTTTTTCCTTCATTGCCTCCGCGTGACCTTTTGCTTTCTCCTTCATTTCCCGGGTTTTCTCCTTCGCCCGATCCATCTTCGCCTTCACGTCATCGGCATAATCCTTAGCCTTGTCGTCCTGTGGGGTTTGCTTAGAAGGCGTTTATTTCATAAAATATATTAATGGAAATTTGTTTTTTATATTTATTTTTTAATTTACCTCGGGATGCCGGGAGGCGGAGGTGAAGCCGGAGATTTTCAGGCGGAGGGCAGCGACAGTGGCGGGATTGTGGGCGGACTTGGAGAGACTGAGGGTTGCGTTTCGGAGTATGGCTGCCATTGTTTGGGAAAATGGATAGAATTTTATTGAGATTTTGGTTGTTTCTTTCTAAGGTTTTGGTTTTGGTTCTGAGCAAGAGGGGTTTGATGAGAGGTGATTGTTGCAAGTTTTTCCCTCGTGATGTGGTTTGTTATATGATGTTTTGAGTTGGACACGCGTAGCGAGAGGTGAACACGTGGAGGTGATTCACGATTTTGGGCACCACATTAGCGAGAGGTGGACACATGGTGATTCTTGCAAATTAATATTTTTCAGTCATTTATATTTGTGATATGTTCGAGAGGTGGACACATGGTGATTCTTGCAAATTAATATTTTTCAGTCATTTATATTTGTGATATGTTCGAGAGGTGGACACATGGTGATTCTTGCAAATTAATATTTTTTAGTCATTTATATTTGTGATATGTTCGAAATATCGGTCCATCAAAATTTTTTGATTAAACTTCATCATCTCAATCACATTGTACCACAAACCAAATTTACCTGCAAAACATCGTTGGGGAGCTCAACGAAAACACTTTGACTCCCAAATCATAAATCTTATTCTCAAAATCTCATGAGAAAACTTATTTGAGAGTTTAGGTTAAGAAACTGAACATTGATCCCTTGTTTATAAGGGATTTAATGACTTACTCTCCAAGACAAAGAGTTTCATTAACAATTAAAGAGTCTAATCCTTCAAAATCATTGCGTAGATATATACAAAAACTTGTTTAGTATCTCTTAGGAATGTTTCATAAATCTTCATAGGTATTTAACTAATACTATACATATTTAAATCGTACATATCGAGTTAAAGCTCCACTGAGCAGGTCGTACCTGAGCGAACCGCTCATGCTGGTCCACCGAGCTATTTTGGGGATTATATCGTCTAGCCACCCCACTCTATATGAGCTTGTTAGCGCAAGACTCTTCTAAGAGTAGAACAATCATTCCTTGGCCAAGTCTATCACGTAGGACTATGACGTCGAGGTCCTGGGATTGCCTAGGCCCCACAGTCTGCTATGCCGGAATTCTGCTGCATCTTGTGTGCAAAGACTCCCAGGCAAACTTTGCACTTTTCTTGCACTTGTTGCCCTAGAGCTATACGCTCAGAGTTTTGCCACCCTAAAAGTTTGGCACACGAGCTACCTGCTCGAGCCTCTGCCATTTCAAAACTTTCGGCACCCAATTGAACTGTTCGGGCTTCTGCCACTTCAAAACTTTTGGCGCTCGAGCTACTTGCTTGGGCTTATGTTGTTAGTGTTATATACTGAAAGCTTGACTTTGCATGTTATTACACATTTGCCCTTTATGAATGAGAATCATGTTGGATTAAACAAGTTCTACGTTCTGTTGTTCTGCACTTAGATGGAGTGGGTCGTCATCGGGCGAATCGAAGATCATTCTATCAGTTAATTGGGAAGAAGAATAGTCGTTCACAACCTAGATGGAAATGAACACCCCATCTGAACGGTTGTAGTGTCAACTGTACAGTTTGTCTTGACTGATTAGTTGCACTAGTACATTTATGTATTGAACAGGATCTGAGAGAGGAGAAGTTCGTTTTATACTGATCGTCGTAAACTAACTAGGCCTCCGTTAATTACTGCGTTCTCTTAACCCGTAAAATATATGTAGTACATATTACTTTGATTCACTTGGTTGAAGTTCAGTTCACTGGATCAATATTTCTACTGTTTTGGGTAATATTGTTATATAGAGGATGTGTTGTTAGGATATTTACGGTCACCATGTACGTTAGTTTGATGATGTCCCTGGAGTGATTTCATGAAGGATTGTTATGCTAAACCCTGCAGGTGGATTGAGTTCCGACATAATAAGAATTTGATGAACGAATGCTAACTTCAGTGAAACACGCCTACCTCTCTCTCAGTTCTCATTCGAGCTTTATCTTCTTCTTGTTGCTTGACTGGTACAAGTTGAAGAGGTGTTTGAGTAATACAATAGAAGATCTATAGGTAACCAAGACACGATAGTCTTCTACAAACAGTCGACGATCCACGATTCGAAGGCCCGAGGACCGCCGACCACTCGGCCGCTAACCACCCGACCGTCGATCGCGACCCAGTCGGAGCCCGCGACCAGCTGCCGTGATGCGCCTACCAGAGCCGTGATCAAGCCGCGATGCGCACCAACCGCGACACGGCCACCGGCGATCAGACCACACGACACAGTCGATCCCGATCCCACACGACACGACCGACCCGATCTCACGACACGGTTGACCCACCTCTTGTTTGTGTGATCCATATCTGTTCCTGTGATGTGTACGGCTATCCAGAAGATCAGCCAGATCGCCAAAAATTTTAAGCCGTAAGCTCTCTACGTCAAACCTTTAGATCCACTGCGCATAGGTTTACGTTTGCTATTGAATTCGTGATTTGTACATAACGAGATCCTCATAGATCCCAACATATGTCAATTTAAAAATCTGGCGCCAGAGCTACCTACTCAGGCTATAACCAGGTCGTAACCACAACCTCCACATTTACGACCTCCAAATGATAGTGTCTTCTTGTCTATTCGAGCTTCTAGAGGAGCCCGACCTTCAAGTCCTCTACTCAAGTTAACCCGTGCCTGAGCTACATACGCTCCCTGACGAGGTTGAGCATTGAAGCCGAGCTAAAGCTTCCCTAGACCATCTGTACCCGAGCTAACTACTCAGGCCGGTCCACGAAACTACTCTGGGTGCTATATCATCTTTTAGTCTCCCCCTTCTCCTCCCACTCTAAACGAGCTATAAAGACTTGTGCAAGAATGATAGTCGACCTTCTTTCTATATGGATTCTTTTCGTTTTTCTCTTTTTATTTTGAATGAGTGCTTCTTCAAACATTACTGAGCTTGAAAATCTTTAATCGCTTTCGAAATACTTAGCCATTTAATTACTTTAGCATAAAAGCTACTTGCTCGCGATCCATGTCTTATATAAATATATATATATATATATATATATATATATATATATCCTCTTTTGCACCCAAGCTATCCGCTTCGGGCTACTACCACTAGAGAAAAAATAACTTTCAGATATTTCATAGGTTTATGGCCCTCTAGCTATCTGCTCGAAGTTCTACCTATTCATTTGGCCCTAGAAAAAACAACTCGAGGTTTTGCCGCTTTAATGAATACTTGGTCCTCGAGCAAACCACTCAAAGTTCTGCCACTTTAATAAATACTTGGCACTCGAGCTATCCGTTCGGAGTTCTTTTGCTTTAATACATACTTGGCCCTCAAAAAAATTACTCGAGCTTCTGCCAATTAACCTAGGGCCACTGAGCTCATCAGCTCGAGGTTCTGCCAATAAAAAATACTTGGATTTAAACTTCCACCAAACTTGGTAAAAGAGGAACTGGACTTTATTGATGAACGAGTTGAACTGTCTGAACAAACTTGTAAAATAAACGTAGCAGATAAACTTAAGCGCAGTACCTCTTGATCGGGACCGAATGACACACGCTCAAGCAGAGGCCGGGGGCAACACTGTGATCTGTGAACTGGGACGATGCGACCTTGGTCGAGAATATGCCCAATCTTGACGGCTGGCACAGAGACCCTACTCTTCCCAAGGACCATCTGTGGTGGGAGCCAACTCTTAAGGCCGCAAGAAAAATGAGACTGGTCTTGATGAATAAGCTGAGTCCACGTCGAGTAAACCGTCCTGACCACATAGTCACTTAGTCCCTTAGGTCTTCTCTCCTGTTTTTGCTTATGTGAGGATGTCGGATGTCAGAACTAGACCTGGAGCTACGGTGCCGAAGTTGGAGTTGGAATAAGATGTTTGAGAAGATAATGAGAATTTGAGTAAATAAATAAAAAGGGAAAAATAGGGGTATTTGTGGGAATTTTTTAAAATAAAAAATAAAAAATAAAAAAAAAACGTCGGCAACCCGTTGGTTCTAGGTTGGCCCAATGGGTCAATGAGATCTGAACCATTGGATTGCTAACTGTAATAACACTAAATTTGTCAGTTCCGAGTCCATCAAGCCCAATATTAAAATTCAAATTTTGAATAATGTTGCGCGGACCTGTTGGGCCAAATTAAAGGCCCCGAACGGGCATGTCAATCTTTTTTATATATGGCTTGTATCTGGTCCGCAAAACACGGGCCCATTCAGATGTTGGCCTAAAGCCTGTGGTCAAAAGTTTGGGCCAAACGTGTCGTCGGGACCCAACCCATTGGGCATGTCTGATGTACCCAAAATATCGGCTCACCAAGATTTTCGGTTGAACTGCCTCTCTTGATCGTCTCGTCTCGCAAAACTGGATCACCAAGTAATAAATGTTGATAAATAAACTTAATATTTGAAAATAGAAGGGTCAA